TTTTTTTTTTTTTTTTTTTTTCTGGTACCAGGGATCAAACTCAGGACCTTGCGCTGTGAGGCAGGTGGCAGAACCACTGAGCTAAATCCCCGGCCTTCTGCAGTGGCCTTTAGGAGGCTGCAAGCAGTGTGAGGGCCTGGGCCAGAGAAGGTGTTCGATTTGAGCTGCTCTTGTCACTTACTGTCACAAGAAGGGACTAGAACACGGTATCAAGGGCAGCTTCCCGGCACAGGGGGAGCCTGCGGGAGGCTTTGTGAGATTAGTGTTGGGTGGCAGGAGGGCGTTCCAGACGCAGGTGATAAAGGTGGGCAGCGTGTGTATTTGGGGGCACGACGTGGGCAGGGCCAGCCCTGCAGGAGCAAGGAGGCAGAGGGGGCGTGGGAGGTGCCCTGGGGTCATCACTCAAGGCCTTCTGAGGCAGTCCCTCATGGGCTCGTGCCCTTCGGCGGGCAGGGGGTAAGCTGGCCGCCCTGGAGGAGTTCCGCCTGCAGAGAGAGGACCTCATGTACAAGTTCTCGTCCCTGGAGGATCAGCTGCAGAAGCAGGAGAGCGAATACAAGGACTCCATGTACAACCTGGAGAAGAAGTTGGTGCTGGACAAGGACAGGTGGGCAGGCTGGGCACCCCTCTGGGCCCACACACAGCCCACTCTGCAAGCCTCCCTGTTCCTCAGCCTCGTAACTGGGAGGACAGGACGAGGTCACACGCTCCGCCTAGGGTGAAGCGCGGGGCGCAGTGAGGAGGCCGGGGGCTGCATTCCTCCGGTGGGCGACGGAGGGTCCCTGAGCTGCTTCTGGCCACTTCTTGTGACTTAACCTAGATTTACTTAGTTAATAACAGGATGTAGTGACCTGGGCGTGGGGGTGCACACTTGTAATCTCCACACTCAGGAGGCTGAGGCAGGAGACAGCTACAAGTTAGAAGCCAGCCGTAGTGAGTTCAAGGCCAGCCTGAATTATATGGTGAGATCCTGTTTCAGTAACAAAATAGGTTGCAATGGCTCAAATTCCTAAGGCCCAGAGAGTTTCCTGACAGACCCAGCTTGTGACCCACAGGCCACTTGCTCTCTTCTTAAAAATATTCTAATATTTAAAAACAAAGCTTTGCCGGGTGTGGTGGTGCATGCCTGTAATTGCAGCACTCGGGAGGCTGCTGTGAGTTCGAGACCAGCCTGGACTACATAGTGAGCTCCAGGTCAGTCTCAACTACATAGTGAGACCCTGTCTCAAAAAAACACAAAAACAATAAAAACAAAGCTTTATTGCTGATGAACTTTATATATGTTTTATGTGGCCCAAGACATTGCTCTGCACCCAGTGCAGCCCAGGCTCTGGTGCCCCCACCAAGGAAAGGGGTGCCAGGGTGTGTGCCCTCTGCCCGCTCCCTTCCCCTCTGCCACCCGCGACGCCTGTAATTGCAGCACTCGGGAGGCTGCTGTGAGTTCGAGACCAGCCTGGACTACACAGTGAGTTCCAGGTCAGTCTCAACTACATAGTGAGACCCTGTCTCAAAAAAAACAAAAACAATAAAAACAAAGCTTTATTGCTGATGAACTTTAATTATATATGTTTTATGTGGCCCAAGACATTGCTCTGCACCCAGTGCAGCTCAGGCTCTGGTGCCCCCACCAAGGAAAGGGGTGCCAGGGTGTGTGCCCTCTGCCCGCTCCCTTCCCCTCTGCCACCCGCGCAGGCTGAGGAAAGAGATCATCCAGCGAGTGAACCTGGTGGCTGCTGAGTTCCACAAGATGGCCTCGGACCAGACGTGGGAGACGACGAAGCGGGCCATCGTGGAGAACAACAGCATGACTCTGCGGCTGGCCAAGGTGTCCCAGCAAGGTGTGCAGCTGCTGCAGGAGAACGAGCAGCTCAGGGACACCCAGGAGGAGCTGCGCAAACAGCTGGGGGTGCTGGAGAGCACCCAGAAGGTCATGGCCAGGAGCAGCAGAGGCCACCAAAAGGTACACCTGCCACGCCCTCCTCCCAGGGCGCTTGGCACACAGTCTGGGGGGGCGGCGTGTGAGATGGTCTCGCTATGCAGTCCAGGCTGGCCTTGAACTCACTGTGTAGCCCAGGCTGAGCTCAATCTCCCAGTGGTCCTGCTGCCTCAGCCTCCCAAGTGCTCTGATTAGGTGTGCCCCACCACACATGCAGCAGGAAGGAACACATGGCCCTGCCCGCAGGGTCCCCACAACAGAGGAGTAGCTTCAGTCTGGAGACAAGTAATGGGGGAGGTGGCTCAGTGGGGATGGGCCTGTGTGTGAGGGGGTCCCGGGTCTGGCCCAGTTCTGCATTGCCCTTATTTGCTTCAAAGCCCCGATAACTTAGCAGAGCCTGTCCGTGCCCAGCAGCGGTGGTAATGGGCCTCTCACTATGTGGGGGTGAGCCTGGCTGTGTCTGGTGCTGGGTGACAGGGCACATGGGGATCGTCCAATGGCCCAGGGTCCGGCCCCCTGCCCACCCTGCAGATCATCCTCATGCTGACTGAGAAGTGCCATGAACAGCAGCAGGGCATGGCAGAGGCCAAGCAGCTGCGCCTGCTGCTGAACAACCTGGACCAGCGCGTCCTGCAGATGCAGACGGACAATCAGGCGCTGCGGTGCGCAAGTATGGGGCGCAGGGGTGGGCTCGCCACATCCCTTTTGGGCCCCGTGGCCTAGGACTGTCAGGCTGAAGCCTGGCTTCGGATGCGCTGGAGAACCTGCAGGGTCGAGGCTGCCGGCCAGCGCTAGGGGATGGAGTCGGCTGTCCTCTCATCTCGTCCCCAACCAGAAGCCAGAGAGACCAGCTGAACCAGCAGCAGCAGCAGCAGCAGGCTGAGGTACAGCGGCTACAGCAGGAGCTGACTGAGGAACAGAAGATTCGGGCCAGCCTAGAGGTGATCCTGGCCCAGGCCGCTGTGTACGTACAGGGTATTCTGCAGGTAAGCCGGAAGTGGAGGTGGGGAGACCAGGCGAAGCTGCTCTCGGGGAACTTGGCCATCTGCAAGAAGCTGGGTTCAGAAGCCGCTCTTTTCCCTGAGAGACTCTTGTCCAGTCTTTTTTTGTGTGTGTGTGTGGTACCAGGGACTGAGTTTAGGCAGGTAGCAGTACCGAGCTAAATCTCTGGTCCAAAAGACAGGGTCTGGCTAAATACTAGTTGTGGCTGGCCTTGAACTCCGTGATCCTCCTGCCTCAGCCTCCAGAGTGCTGGAATTCCAGGAGTGTGCTACCATGCCTGGCCTAAAAGATTTGTTTTGTCTTTGTAATTCAAGATGGCCTTAAACTCATTATGTAGCCCAGGCTAGTCTCAACCTCAGGGGCATTCTCCTGCCTCAGCCTCTGGAATGCTGGGATTATAGGTATGTACCAGCACACCCAGATCAGTCTGTCCTTTTTTTGATTCTGGACTTCAAGGTCCCTTCATGGTCTCCATAGAGCTGAATTCCGCCTCTCAGGTTCTAGAAGGCTTCAGGCCTCAGTCTCCCTAGAGAATGGTACTCATCCAACCCGGGGACACTGAGAAGATAGGCCCTGGGGGTGGGGTATTCCCAAGGTAGGTGGGTGTTGGGGCCACTGTGGGACTGATCCCAGCCCCACCCGCCCCGGTAGATGCACACAGATGAAGAGGATGGGGACTTCGAAGTGGCTCTGGCTCTCCAGCTGCGGTGCAAGGAGCTGCTGGAGCAACTGCTGGCCCTGCTGAGCTCTGCAGTGGTCCTGAAACCCCAAACAGCTGCTTGTCTCCGCCACAAGCAGCAGCCCCATAGGCTGCCCAAGCAGAGGTGAACAGGTGGCCCCGGGTGGCCTCAGAAGAGACAGAGAAGGGACGTACCTGGGGCTGTCCTCAGCTGCCATGCAGCAGAAAAGCCTGGCTCTCCCAGGCCTCTCTGAACCCACATCTTCTTCCAAGATGGAGGTGATGATCTCAGGCCCCTCCCCACAGCCGTTCCCGCACCCTGCAGCAGCAGCCGTCTGGCATCACCACCTTCCAGCCAGGGCATCCAGGCTCAGCGTCTCACCAAGGCCATATCCCACCCAACCCCAAGGATCTCAGGCTGCTCTCATTTGTCACGCGCATGGGGACCCTCCGGGCCCACAGCACTCCTGAGGTGAGGGTGCCAGGGGGCCCAGGGACAGCAAGACAGCAGCCAGTCGTGGGTGCAGTCACAGCTGTGTGGCCTTCAGGGTGTGACTAGATGTCTCTGAGCCTCTCCACCTGTAAAATGTGCTGAAGTGTGGCAGGGAGGCCCACACAGCCGCTGGGGAGAAAGTGCTGCACCCTGTTGCGCCAGGTGAGATGTACCCTCTGAGAAGGGTTCAGCATCCAAGCTGGCCTCTTTAATCCTACAGATCCGTGCCTCTGGTGCTCTAAAAAGCCTCAAAAATTTCAGTCTTCCCGAAGTTTTACTGCGTCCCAAGTAGCACCTGGAGAGACCAACCCTACCCTGCCCCGGAAATGGACTGTTCTGGCCACAGACCCCCTGGAATCTGCAGGAGGCCTGGAGCAGCCCAGAGAAGAGCTGTATAAAAAGTGGACCCCTCAGTGGGCGTGGTGGCTCTGTGGCCATGGCTGAGTCTGCAGCCACTGAAACGAGGGAGCGTGCACCGGTGTCAGGGGCCGGGTGGGGGTGCCTGGCTTCGTTTCCGGATGTGGTCCAGGAGCAGATCAGTGGCACTGTCCAGAAGCGGAGGCAGCAGCTCCTGTTCCTCGGGGGAGAAGTAGCCAAGGACGTGGGCCTCCACTGTGGTAGGGTGCACGGGGCGCCCGATGCCCACCCGCAGCCTTGGCATTGCCTGTGGGGAACCAGAAGGGCCCAAGGAGCCTTGGTGAGAAACGTCGGGGACCCCACCCTGGCCACTCCCACCCAGTGCAGGTCAGAAGGGCAGACTCACGCTGGAGTTGAGACAGCTAATGCAGGAACGGACTCCATTGTGGCCCCTTTGAGGGATAAGGCAAGAGAAATTAGTGTTGGGGGGCAGCACCCTGTGCCCCAACTGAAGGCCGGCTTCCCCACCCCAACCCTGAGCAGAGGGACCTCACCTGGCGCTGCCACCCAGCTTCAGAGCCAGCCTCCCCAGGGGCTTGTCCAGCTCGTCGTGCACCAGGTAAACATCCTCTGCGGTCACCCCAAACAGCTCCGCTTGGCACAGGGAAGGGTGGGCCTGGTTACTGCCCATCTGCACTGACAGGCTTTGCCCCAGGTCAATGAACCCCACCCACTTCCCGTATAAATAAGCAGAGGCAGCCGGGTGTGGTGGCGCGTGCCTGTAATCTCAGCACTCCGGAGGCTGAGACAGAGGGATTGCCGGAGTTCAAGGCCAACCTGGGCTGCATAGTGAGTTCCAGGCCATGATGAGTTACAATAGCAAGACTGTCTCCTATGATCACAAAAAATAAGACGAGGTTCCCTAAAGTGCCCAACCTCAGAGCAGCTGGAGCTCAACAGGCAGGCAGGCAGTGCACCCTCTCTGGACCCTTCGCCCTCCCCGCCGGTTCACCCCTGGAGCCCTCAGCTCACCGGCCTGGGCCACGCTTTGCCCGTTGGCGTTCATGAGCCGCCGAGGCCGGAGCAGGACCAGCTGGGCGTCGCCGAGTGAGGCCAGGGCGAAGTCGGCGACGCAGTGCGAGTCGCGCACCCAGCTCTCCGCCACTCCTAGACGCCACGCCATCTGCCCCAGCACTGCCATGCCCACGCTGTGCCGCGTGCCGGGGAGTCCGGGGTTCCCCAGGCCAGCCACCTGCGGGCGGCACCAGGGAAACTGAGGCTAGACAACTCTCATCACCCCCGATCGCCAGCTTTCCATGAGACCCAAAGTAGAAGAGAAACGGAGAGCAGAGCTACAGTAGTGGGAAAGGGGTGCGACAAAGGGACCCAGGAACTCCCAGAAGCTTCAAAAGGCTGGGCGGGCAGGATTCCGTGTTACAGAAGCGAAGCGCCTAAAAAGCCCTCCTGGTATCCGAGCCCTTTTCTAGATAAGAAAACAGCAATTTGGGGGATTTCCCCGGGAAACAGTGACAGAACGAGAACAAGGGTCCCCGAGCCCATACGTTACTACCCACACACCACTCACCAGCCACCGCTTCCCTGGGGACCGAAGTTCCGAAATACACCGACTCACCGCCATGCTCAGCCGAAGCCCGGCGAGCAAAAGGCCAGACTACAACATGCTGCTCCCATTCAGGGTCCAGACCCCACCCTCAACGTCAACCAGCCCGCAGCCAATCACATCGTCATCTGCTCTGGGTGTCCAATCCGGGCCGCGCCTCGTGGCCGCCATGTTTACAAAAGGCGGAAGTGGTGAGGCGGTGGCCGCGCATTCAGTCGCACAGTGTCACCGTATCCCAGTGGGGTTTATGTGACATTCTCGGAGATCTTGCTTAATCGTCTGCTTGAGAGGTAGGAACCTCGTTATGCCGCCGCTATGGCCCTTCCTCGCTGCAGAACCCATCCACTTCGTTCACTGCCATAGATCTTAACTTGACCTGCTGTTAACTTTTCTAACAGCCTTGGGATCCTGGGGGCGTGGCCAAGGAACAGAACCTGTAGGCGTCCTAGAGCTGTTGCCTAGTAACGCCAGAAGCTTAGGTTGGTAGGCAGGCAGGGGTCCGGGAAGGAGTTGGCCCTGGCTCAGAGATCCTCCTGCTACAGACCTCATGACAGACTCCCGCGAGGCGCAGGCTGAGGAGGCGAAAGCCAAGGTAGAAGGCAGGGTAAGGAGACTGGGGCCGATTTCCAGGAAGGCTGCAAGTATGGCTGAGGCAGAACCAGTAGTGCTATTCAGGGAGGCCTTGAGGCCGTGTAGACGTGGGAGGGGTAGTCAGAGCTGGTATCCAGGTAGAGATAGATGACATTGGCCCAAACAAGGGGAGCGAGGAAGAGTGACCTGAGATTTGAGGAAGTGGCACAGACAGGACTTGAGGGCTGATGGGACATGTGTCTCTGGCTTGGCTGGCTAGTGGGGAACGTGACAGACACATCGAGGTGGGACAGCCTAAGGCAGATGTCAGGTGAAGGGCTTACTCAGCATAGCTTTCTGGATATGAGGGTCCCAGAGGACGCCCAAGGGACTGGGGGACCCCAAAGCCTGTGACTTAAGGCAGGGCCTGCGCTGGGGACGTTAGAGCAACGGTTGTTAGGAGGAGCAGAGGGTGGTGTGGATGTGAGGACCTGGACCGTAGGAGAGGGGGAGAAGCAGGACTGCAGAGAGACACTGGGACATCCTTAGAAGAAATGGTCAGGAGAGCAGCAGACCCGATTGTGTGTGCTGCCTTCCAGGCCCTTTTCACTCCTCCATCTACCCGAGCAGAGGGCTAGGCATGTAGCTCTGTGTCGGCATGCACAAAGATGTGGATTCCATCCCCAGTACAGAAGGGAGGGGACTAGGGAAGTGTGTAGGTCGGATGGGGGTCCTCTCTGAGGCCTGCCCCTGCTTGCTGTCACTTGGTTCTAGGATGACCTGGAGCTTGGCCAGACATCCTCATACAGCACCCCAAAGCCATGGGTGATTCCAGTCCCGAGGGGAACCCTGCATTCCATCTTTGGGACCAGCCAGGTGTTCCGGGGCATAGATGATGTAAAGCCGAAGGTCACAGGGTTAACGGTGCCTCTCAAAGTCAGGGAGTAGTAAGTGACTACCTTGTCCTGGGGTCCCAGAATCCTGCTCTACAAGCCATTTATGTTCTGCAATCTTGAGCCAGTTACCACCTTTCTCTCTCTCTCTGGGCCCCAATGAACTCTACTGTGTGACAGTTCTTCTGCCAGTGCAGAAAAGACTGGTGGCCTGGATGAGCTCCAGAAATGCCAGCTCTCCATCCCTGGCACTCTGTCCACTGTTCTGCCCCCACATCACCTCCCAACTACCCCTCCCCCCAGCCCAGCTGCACGCTTTGGGCTGGTGCAAAGTCAGGGCCGGGCCTCTGCCCATACTTCCCTGCCTGCAGCTACCACCGAGGCCAGGGATGCCTGGAGCAGGAGGACTGGGAGACAGCCGTGCTCTTCTTCTCCCGCGCCCTCCACCTCGACCCACAGATGGTGAGAGGTCCTCCGGACTGCCTCTGACACACTTTCCAGGACCCTCCTCTCAGGACCACCAAGTCCCTGCCGGGAACTGCGTGTCCAGCTGCAGGGAGGCAGAGTCCTCTACCTTGAGGGGCGGATGGTGGGGAGGGGACAGCAGTCTGGGTCCCCTCACCTCTAGGTAGACTTCTATGCCTTACGGGCGGAGGCCTTGATCCAGCTTTGTGACTTCTCCTCGGCTGCCCAGAACCTGCGCAGGGCCTACTTGGCCCAGCCGGAGAACAGGAAGCACCTGGAGCGGCTCACCTTCGTGCTTTACCTGCAGGTGCCCACTTGTACCCCGGTCCCCGCTTCAGCTTTGGTGGGCTCTCCTTGCTCCTGGGACCAGCTGTCTCCTTGGTTACTCCCTCGCCATGTCTGCTGTCCCTCTTACCTGCTGAGGGGCTTCCTGACAGGGCTGGGTAGAGTTTTGCAGCATAGTGACACGATCTACTCTGCTCTGTCCGGCAGCAGTACAGCCACCAGCCACATGAAAGGTCGAACCCTTGAACTGTGGCAAGTGTGAATTTTAGGGCCAGGGATTTAGTTCAGTGGTTCTGGCACCTGCCTCGCAAGCACAAAGGCCAGAGTTTGATCCCCCTGTCCCAATAAAAAATAATAATTAAAAAAAAAACAATTTAAAATTTTATCTGAGCTGCAGGTGTAGCTCAGAGGCAGAACACTTGCCTAGCATGTGGGGGGGCCTATGTTTGATCCCTAGCACCACAAAAACAGTTAAGCATCCATTTTATTTAGTTTTAATGAATTTAACTCTGTAGAGCCACACGCAGCTAGCTGGTGGCTGTGGTAGTGGACAAATCTAGAGCGGAGAGGCTGCAGCGGTACAAAAGGGGCAATGACCTTATTTGCAGCTTAAAATAAAATTCAAGTCAGGTGTGGTGCACACGCCTGTAATCCCAGCACTTGGGAGGCTGAAGCACGAGTGACACAGGACGTAGGGTGTGGCAGAATTGGTGGGGAAAATGAGCAGGACCTGTCAGTTCAAGGTCCCAGGGCAGTACCAGGAGCCCATATGTAGAACTACTCGAAAGCTCCCGCCAGAGGAGGGCGGTGTAGAAGAGAGGCCATTACAGGAAGCTGCTATCCTGCGAGCCCATGATCGCCCTGGCGGTCTTTCTCAGAAGGCATGTACTTTGATTTTTGCTCTTACCCTCTTTTCTTCTTTGTTCAGCCCAAATAGAGCTGTTTTCTCCCATACCCATTGACCCCCCCACATTTTTCAAATAAACTTTTGACAATGTTTTTGGCTTTCCTTGTCCAATTCTTTGTCGAAGGCAAGAAGGACCTGGAGTACTTTTGATTGGTGAGCCGTTTTTAAAGGAACTACCCTATAAAAGGTTAAAGGCCAGCTCAGACTACATAACAAGACCCTGTCTCAAAAATACAAAAGAAGGTGACCCACACCTGCAGTCCCAGCTGTCGAAAGGCTGAGGCAAGAAGATTGCTGTGAGTTTGAGGCCAGGCTGGGCTGCATAGTGAGTTCAAGGCCAGCCTGAACTGCGCAGTGAGACCCTATCTCAAAAAACAAAAACTATAAAACATAACCAAGTCTTGATTGTTTTTTCATTTTGACAACTTTGATGCCTATTTTTTAAATTTTATTTTGAGTAGGGTCTCTCTGTGTAGTCAAAAGCTGGCCAGGAACTCATGATTCTCCTGCCTCAGCCCCCCAAGTGCTGTTATTACAGGCATGTGCCACCATGCCTGGCTTAACGTCTTAAAAAAAAATGTAATCCCAGTACTGGGAGGCTGAGGCAGGAGGATTGGCAGAAGTTTGACCAGGCTGGGCCGCATAGAGAGTTCAAGGCCAGAGCAGACTACAAAGGAGAGACACTATCTCAACCCCCCACCCACCCAAAATTATCCAGGGCTTTAAAAGAAGTGTTTGGGCTACCCAAACCTTGTGCTTAAGCCATCTGCCAGGGGCCCTGTGTCACCTCTTGTGTGACCTCAGGAAACTCGCTTTACCTCTCTGAGACTCCTTTTCCTTCATCCAAAGGGGGCTGCTGGCTAGGCCCTCAGTGAGGTGACAAGTTCAGGTTCTCAGCCCAGGGCTGTGCACTGTTACTGTGAGCGTGGCTGCTGTCACCCGCTGTCCAGGCGCCTCCATTCCAGGCTGTCCGTGTCACTGTCCCTGACCCACCGTTTCCAGCACTGCCTCTCTCCATTTCTGTCTCTGTGATCTGAACGTTTCCCCCAGATGTAATCAGTTCTGTCCTTGTCCCTTGTCTCTCCCCTCTGTCCTAAAGTTGGCCCCTGCCAAGTGGCGGGTGCTGCCGGCCAGGGTCACCAGCAGGACTGCCTGTCCCTGTGTCCCCAGGGCCAGTGCCTCTATGAGCAGTGCAACTTCGAGGATGCCCTGATGGTCTTCTCGCAGGCGTTGGAGCTCCAGCCAGAGAAGCACTGCTTCTGGTACCGAAGGTGAATGTCCCTGGCGTGCCGCCCTCTCCCGGCAGCCCCTTCTCGCCTGCCGTGCCCAGCTCTCGCTCTGCTGCCCACAGCATGGCCTGCCTCTTGGCCCTCCAGCGGCATCACGACTGCCTGGTACTCATCACCAAGCAGCTGAAGCAAGGCACGACCAACGCCGACCTCTACATCCTCCGTGCCAGGATCTACAACCTCTTCCAGATGGTGAGCAGGGTGAGCAGGGCGGGCAGGGCGGCCTCTGAGCCCCGAGATGACAGGAGGTGAGGGCTGACAGCCAGCCCAGGCACCCCGATCCCACAGCACGCCCCTCACCATCCTCCCCAGGCAGAGGCCCACTAAGCTGCCCGGCTGGGCCCCACGGAAACCACAAGTGAGGGATCCTGTGGTCCCTGCCATCCTGCAGCTCTCTGCCCAGGGGAAAGCCCTGAGCAGACAGGAGCACAAGGAATGATTTAGCCTCAGTTGTGCAAAGTACCGTGCGGAGGCGCCCTGGGGACCATAAGGCAGCCTTGGCTCCTCCCTCCTTCCCTTCCCTTCCCATTAGACCCCTCCTCCCAGCCCCACACAGAGAGGCTGTGGGACACACAGGTCAGGGGACAGTTCTGGGGCAAGGCAGATGGTGTCCCGGGCAGGGCGGGTGCTGCAGTGTGAGAGGGCACTGGGTCCCCAGGGCTTTGTGGGGTGCTCCCGCTGTTGTGAGGGCTGGTAGAGCAGGGAGGAGGCCGAGGGCAGGCAGGAGCAGGAAGGCTCCAGACGACATCCTGGCTGCTGGGCGACACAGACCAGACGGTGGAAGGTGGGCGGGGTGTTAGGAATTCCGGAGCAGGGTGCTGTTCTCCAGAGTCGCTCTGGCATCGGGTTGAGTCCATCCAGGTGACTTGTCCCTCTGCTGAGGGCCCCAACACTCCACAGGTGAGTCAGCGGGAGAGCCGCCTTCAGGCCCGAGACTAGGAATTGTCTGGGATCCTTGAGCCCGCTGCGGTGGGCAGATGAGGCGACAACCTCGCAGTGAGCTGTCGGGGCCCACACGGTGCTTCTTAGTGGTGCTGCCTGCCTTGAGCCCAAGCCCACCTACTCCAAAGCCTGGCTCCTGGCTTCTGACATTTCGCCTCCCCGTTACCCCCATGCCCGCTGCCCACACGGTTGCCCGGTCCACCTTCAGTCACTACCTGAAGGACACAGGCTGCTTGTTGAAACTGCTCATTGACTGACTGGCTGATCTCACACCCGGGAACGCTTCCCCCTCTTCATCAGGCTTGAATCTGTTCTCGGTCAGTGTTGTGTTGGGCTTCAAGGCTTCGCAGGAGTCCTACGAAGAGGTAGCATTGTCACAAAGCACAGGTCGACCTGGCTCGCAGGTCACATCTGGAAAGTGGACAGCAAGGACATGCTAGTTACTGTTCTCTCATTGCTGAGACAAAATACCCGGCACCAAAAGTTAACAGGGAAAAGGGTTTGTTTGGCTTACAGTTCATAGAAGTTTCAGTCCATTATCGGCTGACTCCGAGGCTGGGATGGCAAATGGGCACTGCAGAGGAGAAAATGGGCACGCAAGGAAGCAAAGGTAACGAGAGAGTTGCCAGCATCTTTCTGCCCTTTTATCTCATTCAGACTGCCGGGGTTAGGGCGGGGCCAAACTATTCGCTCACATGTAGTGGTTTAGGAATCACTGGCCCTTAACCCCAGCATCACACATTCCAGATTAAATTAATTCTGAAAAAGAAGATCCTGTCCTATCCGCATGAGTCTTTGGGGGGACATCTACACACAAACCATAGGAAAAGAGGAGGCCGGAGTACAGATCCGTGTTCCGAAACAACTCAGTCCCGGCATAGGAGGACTGTCCCCTAACACTGTGGGGCGGAAGGAAGAGAGGCAGGCAGGGCTGGCATTGCACAGATGTGTAGGGAGCGTTCCGATAGAAGCCCAGTCCTGGATGGGTCAGGAAGACGGGTGTATGTATGTGTGAGGGTGAGAGGGACTGGCGGATCTTACAGTAATATCAAAGTCAGATGCATCCAGGGCCTGGTTGTAAAGCCAAACCCCACCTAGCGCGCTGCTGGTTTTACGTGTTTGTGATTTGCTGGGAACCTTTGAGGGAAAAGCCAACTAGGTTACTCAGGGGCAGTCATGGCTGTTGTGACACAAGATGGCTATGGTCACATCAAGCTGTATGCTCAACATACAAACACTGTGTGATGCCAGCCTGCGCCCTGGAGACTGCCCCTCCTCCTCCTCACACTGGGCTGAGAAGGGCTCAGCTTAGCTCACTGGTACCCTGATGGCGCCCCTGATGGCACCCCTGCAGCCCAACTTCTGCTATCGGGACCTGTGCAGTGCCTTGCTTTTGGATCCCAAGCACCCACAGGCCAGGGTGCTGCTCCAGATGATGGTGGACCAGGCCCAGGAGGCCCGCCGGGACGCTGGGATCCTGGCCATACAGGGCAGGCTACAGCACACCTTGCAACGCATCAACTGTGCCATTGACAACAGCCCTCTGGACCCCAGTCTCTTCCTCTTCCGGTATGTGGCCTGGAGCTGCTGGCCCTGGGTCTGCCCTTCAAGGCTTGCTGTGTGGTCTCAGGAGAGTCCCTGACCCTCTTCCCATCTCAAGCCTCTAATAACCTCTCCCTGCTTCCTACTGGGGTCCCAGCGACATGGAGTTGGTCTCTGCCGCTGCTCCTGGAGGAGGGCCAGGCAGTGGGGCCCAGGTACCTTGGGAGTCCTAGAAGCCCAGGCCTGTCTGGAAGCCCCTGGCCAGCCCTCGGACTTAGCGTGTGGTTTGTGGCCACTGAACCTCTGTGAGCCTGGGCTTTCTCATTTAAACAGTGGGGCGCGTGAACCCAAGGATGTCAGTATAGGCTGGCACGCACCTAGCTCCAAAGAAAGACAAAAGCTATTTTCCAGAAATAAATGAGGGGCACAAGACAAACCTAGGCCATGGAGTGTGAGCCGCGACCAGTGTCTCGGGTCCTGGGTCAGAAAGTAGGGCGGGCAGTGGCTTGCCGGGCCGCATGCCACCGCGCGGGTGCTTTGGCCCGCCCTGCCACCTGCCGTGCCCTCCCCGCAGGGGCATCGTGTACCGCCGGCTGCAGGAGTTTGACGCAGCGGTGGAGGACTTCCTGAAGATCCTGGACATGGCCACCGACAGCCAATGTGACACGGTGCGACAGGCGCAGCGCCAGCTGCTGCTGACGTACAACGACTTCGCGGTGCACTGCTACAAACAGGGCTCCTACCAGGAGGGCGTGCTGCTGCTCAACAAGGCGCTGCGGGGCGAGCAACGCGAGAAGGGGCTCTACATCAACCGCGGCGGTGCGCGGGGGAAGGGGAGGCATCCGATGGTCCCGGGTCCCGGGGTCGCCTTAGACAAACTGGGTTCAGTGTCCTTAGAGTCTCAGCTCGGGCAACTGGGGAAAGGCGCGCAGGCGCGCTGCCAACGGGGACCACCTGTGGGGGTATCAGCCACCCTCGGGCCGGGCTGGAGCAAGCGGGGCTGGAGGTTCATTCAGCCCCTGCCCTCCGACCCTAGATTGCTTCTTCCAGCTGGGCAACCTGACCTTTGCCGAGGCAGACTACAACCAGGCCCTGGCCCTGAGCCCGCAGGACCAGGGCGCCAACACTCGAATGAGCGTCCTGCAGGAGATGATGGGCTTGGGCGAGCAGAAGTGCCGGT